CACGATTTACATGGTGGATAATCCCGTGTCCCCTGCAGAGCTGAGCTCTTGCTGTCAGAGAGGAGGATGTGCTAGCCTCTTATGCTGTGTGTTCTCATTTTTCAGATATCTTGCTCCGAGCAGCAGGAGGTGCTTTGCTGTAGGAATCCTGAGTCACTCTTAGCCTCCTGCAGAGAATATTTCACCCATGTCTGTCATTGCCTTGCTGGAAACACTCACCCTACACCCAAGTTACAATGTTGCTGCAGGACAGATTGCCCAGCCAGGAAATTATTTGATTTGTAATAGCCCCATTCAGGACAAAGGGGACTCAAAGTACTGTACAAATATATTCTAGCGGCCACTGATCATGCTTGTAATAGTTAAGGTTGCAAAGTAGTTTGCATTATATCCCCCCCCACACACACATACGTCTTCTTTTCAGATCAAAATTTTCCAAAACATTCATTTTATGGGCAGAAATGTGCTACGCTTGGTTTCTCCTCACAGGTGAATATTGATGGAAAGTTTGGGCCAAAACTATTCAGTCATTTCTGAGTTATGGCAGGGTGAAAAAAAAGCCATTTTTGCATAACTATATAAAAAAAATATGTTGGACTGTTACAACTGTTTCTTTTCCAGCATCACTCAACACTGGCTAAACTATGAAAGATTAAAGTTGGCGTAAGAAGCGGCCCTAATGAGCAGAAAGGGCTCTGGCAATTTGCTTAAAAATTCAGATAAAAGAAACAACAGTTATATAAACATTAGAAAACACGCTCCAGCATGTGCGCCGTATAACACTCCATGAACAGTGACTCTGCCCTGTTAGCCAGGACTGTGGAGCCAGTTACCTGTGCAGGGCCATGCGGTCTGAACCAGTGGTTAAAGCTGATCAAAGCCAGAGTGGGAGCTCACCCACTCTCTTGTCACCACAGGTCTGGGTGTTAAGTGGTGAAGCAGCAGTGCCCTGCCCTGCAGTAGGGGAAAGAGAACAAATGTAGCCAAAAGAAGTTCCTGCCCCTCCCCCTCCCCCCAGGAGGCCCCATCAGGCTGCCTGTGCTCCTTGTGCAGAACTGGTTTGGGAACATCAGTAGTTTTCCAATCTCTGTGTCCAGCAGGACAGAGAATCTGTGTTGATGTAACATAAACAAGCCTAGGAAGTCTGGGGGCATCGTCCCTGGAAAGTGCTGATGCATTTTAGACAATGTTAAGTTGATTTAAAAAAAAAAAAAAGTTTTATGCAAAAACCTTGTTTGATGGATTCCTTCTCTGTCCTTCTCCCTGGGGGAGACAGAGCTGGTGTACGGGAGGGGAGTACGGTTCTCCCACAGAAGACGAGCTGGCAGGAGATGGATCTTCCCACAAGAAAGGAGACAAATAGGATGGGGTCACCTCTTCTTTTCCCATCAACTGCAGCTGCTCTACCCACTGGTAGAAATGGCTGTGCGCTTCCCCATAGTCACCACTGTTTAAAAGAGAGCTCCACGGACACTCCTCCATAAAAGCAGAGGGCCATGAGCTGCCAGAGGGTTGTGGGCAGAGACTAATGCATTTTAATTTAGTTTTATGACATATCTTAATCATCAGGGTCTCAGAAGGTTTGGCTCAGTAGTTAGAAATTGACATGTTCATCTGAAGCTGTAGGAGCAGCCCCACAATCCCGTGTGACAAATTCCCAAACTCCCTCCTACCTGAAGATAGGAAGCAGCTGCCCAATGGGCTGCTAGTGCTATTCCCTTACTCCAGCATCTCCATGGAAGGACGGCAGGCCTGGCTCCCTCCCCAGCATCCTTAAAGGGCATTTCTTCCCAAGAACGAGGCGAGATGGAGGGATGCATGCAGCCTCTCTCCAGCACTCTTGCTCCCTGGGGTGTGTGTGTGTGGGGGGGAGAAGCACATTCTCAGGCTTGTCTCCCCTCCTGGAGGCCTCACATTTCCATCATTCATTTCCTCTAGGTGTAGGGGAGGGCTGGAGGCTTTCCTCTTTGGTGTTGCCATTCTACCTGCCTTTCCCTCCTCCTATCCCTTTGGGTCCCCCTGGCTCCCATGACCCTGACTGCTGAAGCTGCATTGAATGACAAGACAGAGGCAACTGCTTACTACTCTGATTCATCTCCTCTGAACTCACAAGGGAGCAGCAGATGTGGGGGAAATGAGCCACACTCCCAGACACAGCAGCTCCTTGTGGCAGGACACCATAACTGCAGGTGAGCTTTCAGGTGGCCCCAGGCCACAGGCTAGAACAGTAATTTCCAGGGCAGGTTAGTAAAAGGCTGAGGTCCTGGCCAGATCTGGACTAATAGTAGCTGTTTTCCAATCTGTAAAATGGGGATAATATTTATTTACCTACATCACAGGACAGATCGCACAGAGTTTTGCAAATGGCGTTGGTCTCTTCTGTTCAGCCTTTGCTTTGTAACCACAAAGTACTAAGTGTTATTACTAGGTGGCAGGAATGCTGAGAGGATAAACATCTCCCTGTCCTGCAGCCTCCCACAGAGCCCAGAGGGGGTGGAAGATGACCAGGGGACAGCGTTTAGAGAAGGGAAGGACAGAAACATTTTATGTAAAGAGAGACACTCATGTAGGGTTTAATTTAAAGTCCATGACTCCTGTATTTTAAATATCTCTGTATAGTTATTGTACATACACACACACACGACTGTGGTGCAGCCACTAGTAAGACAGAGCACAGCAAAGGTTTAAGAGAACAGAGCAACACCCGGCATGTTTCAAAACAGGAAGTGAAGAACACAGCATCCCTGCTGCAATAGAAACAAAGGGAAGCATTTGAACCACTGATATGGAGAAAGCTGTTAGTGCTGTGGAACAGCCTTTTGCATTAGCCCCATTGCAACAGACCATCATGTTTAGTGTATGTGAAAACTGCCATAGAACACCCTGAATCAGACCATGTGCAAACCTTCCTGATGACACCAATGTAGGGAGATTATTATTAGCACGTAACAGAGACAATAAAAAAGGGATTAAAATTAAAGTCCTAGACCCAGATCTTCAAAGGTATTTAGGCTCCTAACTTGCATCAATGTCAATGGAAGTTAAATACCTCTGGAGTCAGGCCCTGCTGCCTAAAACATCTTTGCACTTCTCTGTCCCTTTCATTATTTTTCTACTGTGTCAGAGGTGTGCCCAGGCATTTTGGGACTTCAAAGGGGAATGAGATGCACATAAAACGCTACCCTCTTCCCGCCACTGAAAGTGGTGTTTTAGGAATGGCTAAAGAAGGAAATCTCTGAGCACATCAAATACTTGGGTACTCAGCATTCATGTTACAGAAGCAATTGTACATATACCCGCATCTTAAAGTTTGCCAGTAACTCTGTGCTTTGATACTGGAATACCACAGAAACCCCAAGCTACACTTTTCCCTTGGAAGGAAGTGATAAAATAGCTAATTTATACTGTCTCCTATACACACAATGCAAAGTCACACTTTGTTCAAGTCTGTTTTTTCCTGTTCTAGGGTGGTGGTAAGGCATGAAAGTTAACTATTGTAGGAACATATGATGTTGCTCCCCCATTTTTCCTGCATATGCTGGCAAATGGACAGTCTTTACTAGAAGTGAAAATACTGTAGTGAATTGCTAGGGGAATTTAAGGAGGGATGGCACTATTGCCAGGATGAAAACCCTTCCATTTCAAAAAGTTGGCAGGGGCTCTTTAATGATCATAATTGGCCAAGAATTGTTTTAAATCTCATTCAAAAGATGTCAGCTCCAGCAGCAGAGCTATAGAGCAACACAGCAGAGCATTACTTCAGCATTGGCCCAAAGCAAAGAGTGCCCCCTACCGGGCCACTGGTATCACTTCCTGTGGTGGACCAGCCAGTGTTGCCCAGCTTTGAGATAAGAACAAACTGCCAGCAGTATTGTGGCTACAGCCCAGCACCTACAGACTTTGATCACCCCTCCTTAAAATTTACTGCTGGTTATAAACTGTAATGACACAACTGGAGGAAAATGCCTTATCCGGCTGTAATAACGTAAGTGCTGGGAGAAGATGGAGTTCAGAGCCAAGGCAGGGTAAGGGAGACTGAAGACAAACAAACAAAACGCAAATAAAGGCATTAAATATTGATAGTATTCTGAGGGGCGTGGCATAAATGCACTGAAATTAAGCCTCTCTGATATAAAGGAAAAGCCAGGCAGTGGCAATGGGTTTCACCCTGAGAACACTAATGTGCAGTTGTTCCAAGGCGTGTTGGATGGGAGTAGTTGAGGGGAGAGGTTAGGGAAGGTGGCAGCAGCTGCTGCTAAGCAGGTAGGATGGAGGCAGGTGTAAGGAACAAGCAGAAAGGGCAGGCAGGGTGGGGAGAGGCAGCTGGGAGGAACTGCACTCAACTAGAGTTATGAATGTATAAACTCACTACCATCATTTAAAGGCCAGGCTAGTTAAAGTCCAAAGGTAGAGACCCCTCATAGCTTCCCTCCACACCACCAACCTTTTTCTCAGCACCTAATCCCTGCAGCCTCTTGAACCAGAGTTCAGTGGTAAGAACAGCTTCAATTATGCAAACAGGAGTGGAAGCTCTCACAGATTGCTCATGAGACGGGGAGTAGAGGAGGGGTGAGAACAAGCTGTGGTTCATTACTGGGAGGATCCAATGTTCCTCCTCAGTCAGGATATGCATCAACTTTCTGGGTCTCAGAATCCAGCAGCACCTGAAACAAGTCAGACTAGTCCATAGAGCCAGAGGAGCTGTGCTGGGAGCTGCACAGAAATAATGGTATTAAAACAAGCAAGTGCATTAAGTTTTAATCCTGATGAGACACTCCCAACATTCTTAAATCCCACCCTGCACTCCTGCCCCACTGTTTCCACCTGGGGAGCCCCCTTATCTATGCTCAGCTATCACAGTAGCAGCACCCCTTACGATTCCTCCATCCTTGGTGGGCAGGTGAGAGTTGCCCCACAATTTCAGAGATGGGGTTTTTCTACAGAATTACACAGAAGTGATTAATAAAGTTCTCTTTATTACAGACCTACAACCCCCCCCACACCCCCCCCCAAAAAACAAAAAAATGTTTCTCTTCATAAATCAGCAGCAGGGGAGAGTGTGGCATAGGCTCAAGGAGCCACAGAGGATTCATACTTGTCCCAGCAACAGGAGGACAAGGATGCAGGTATCATGGATGAAGCAGAGCAATCCCCGATTTTAACAAACCCACCCAGAGCAAATGTGTCCACATCTTGCAGAGAGTAACCACCCATTGCTCTGGGTCTGGATAGGACAGACACTGATAAACACACCTCTAATTCAGCAGTCGTCCTGCTTTCCCCACTGCCAGTTCTTTGCAGACAGATGGAAGCCCAATTCCAGCTTCTCCCACCCTCAGAATTGCTCAGGACTACTGCTGCCCAAGAGAAGAAGGTGGGCCACACCCACACACAAAAAAGGGCACAGGTTCTACAAGGCAGTTCAGTTTTGCTTCACGCCTCTCCTGGCAAGAGAACACGCAACATGACCAAATCCAGAGGCCTGGGTGCAGGTTTCTCTTGTTCAGGCTCCAATGAGTTTCTTAAGGAAGGCCTCCAGCTGATCCTCATCCTTTATCCCCACAAACTTATCCACAACATCTCCGTTCTTCATAGCCAGCACAGTCGGCACAGCTGAGACCTGGAAGGCAGAGAGGGCGCAAACAGACACACAATAAGCTATGCTGGGAGGAGCCCAGCTGCACAATGGCTTTGAAGGATGACCTGCAAAGCAAAAAAAATAAAAATAAAAAAAGAAAAGGCTTGGGCCCTTCTGTATAATTCATAAAGGACTGAAAAGTTTTCAGGGTTTTATTTTTCCTGCTTGCTTTTGACATTAGAAATTCAGGGCCTCTCTGGTCTAGAACAGTGGTTCTCAATCAGGGGTCTGGGGCCACCTGGGGGGGTTGCAAACAGGTTTCAGGGGGTCCACCAAACAGAACCAATATTGGACTCACTGGGGCCCAGGGCAGAAAGCCGAAACCCTGCTGTGCAGGGCTGAAGCCCAGGGACCTGAGCTTGTCACTTGGGGCTGAAGCAGAAGCCGGAGCAGCTTAGCTTTGTGGGGCACCGTGTGGCGTGGGGCCCTGGGCGATTGCCCTGCTGGCTACCCCCTAACGCCAGCCCTGGCTTTTATATGTAGAAAACAGGTGTTGTGGCACAGGTGGGCCCTGGAGTTTTTAATAGCACGTTGGGGAGGGGACTCAGAAAGAAAAAGGTTGAGAACCCCTGGTTTAGAAGACCCTAGGGCAGATGGAGAACCTGCTCAGCCCTTTAATTAAGGGGTAAAAGCTAACAACGAACACTGTCCGAGACATCCTCCAGCAAAACCATGGAAGGCATCGATGCTGCTCATGTTTTCGATCCTTATCTATGTCCTGACTTAACTAAAAATCAATCCATGCAGCTTTTGTAGTTTAGACAAGACCCAAGATTAAAAATGCAGACAAAATACCCATTTTTTCCCCCAAATAAAAATAGTAACCTCCTTCCCCCCCCCCCCCCTTATCTCATCACAAGGCAGTGCAGGAGGGAGCAAACCCAATGGTTTAGAAATACTTTATAGGGCACTTTTAAAATATATTTTACAGTGGGTGGTTGTTCCCCACAATTCAATGTGGACCAGAGTGGAACTGCACCTTTCCCCAAGTAGGAAAGGATTCCTTGTCCTCCTCCACTCTTGGAGAAATATTCTTGTGTTAGCTCTAGACTGTCCGTCCCCCTCCCCAAAATCCATCTCTTTGCTTCTCCCTGCTCTCACAGCTCATGGCTTCACTGACAGCACGGTCAGAGACCACCACCTGCTGATGATTAGGTAGGGGAAGGGAAGCCCTCAAACTGAGCTGGCAGCCAGCTACAGTGCTTTGGGTGTTACTCTCTCAGCCGATCCCCCGCAAGCTTTGTTCAAAACTAAGGAAGTAACAGTGCAAAGGATGGCACTCAGGATCAAAGCAAACTCCCCGGGGACTCAGTGGGGGGGATGAAGAAACCTTGTGGCCATCTATTGGGGAAGGCGTAACGAGACTCAGACCAGCATGGAATGGCAAGGGAAAGAATTTGGTAGTATTTTAGAACAGCCAGGCACATGCCTCCTGCTACTTCATGGCCCTTATCTGTATAGCGCTTATCTCCTGGAATGTGTCCCATCCTTATCTTGTAGGAATGCATCCTGGGAATGAATCCACTCAGCGAGTACATTCCCAGCTGCACTGTCTCTTGCTGCCATCAGGGATTTGCCACCCACACAAATCCTCCCCACAGGAAATCCCTTAGAGATATGGCTCCTCTCTCACCAGCAGTTTGACATGAAAGAGGTTTTGTTGGCCCTGTCCCTCCCCCTCGCCCATCCAGAACTGTTCCCTACGAATATCCTCCAGGGCTTTATACAGACCAGTTTTAGATAATTCAGGCACTGGGGCTCCTCCTGCCACTTGCCCAATGCCGGTTTAATCTGTGTTCTTTAGCTCCCCCTAGTGACTAGTTGCAGAAGTGCAGTGTAGCCCTGGAAAGCTGCTCACTGCACATATGGTGCAGCTGATGTGCCTGTGTGTGAATTTTTTTCTTTTCAGGAAGAAAGGATATAACGAGGAAGCACTGAGCTCGCCTTAATTATGCCCTCCTGGGGCAACGTAGTTGTTATTTTTCAGGGATATCTTCCCCATGTCTCTAATATAGATTAAACACCAAGTGGAGTTACACGTGAGGCTATTTTATAGATGAGTTTGGGTAACAAACCATCTGCTTTAAAGGTCCACATGATGAAAGCAAGCACTGGTCCAAGTGCGGAACAGCAGCAGCCTCCAGAGTTGAGGAGCATTAACTTAATGCTGAGTTACAAGCCTGTGTGCGTGGGCCAGCATGAACCTCACGTGCACCTGTGGCTGAGCCCTCCATCTCCTCCCACACACACACGCGCACACGCGGAGGAAGGGGACAGCTATAGTGGCTTTCAGCTACTCTGTGCTTCCAGATGCTGAACTGCTCCAGGGGGGCGGAGTGGCCCCCAGCATAGCTTAAAAAAGTCTGTCTAACTTGCAACAGCATCCCAGGATGTCCTATGGGCAGCCCCATGTCAGGGTTTGTCAGGAACACCTCGGGTTCTGCACTGCCTGCACCAGCGGAAATCTCCCGCAGACAGAACCAGGCCTGTTAGGGCCCATTTACGCCACTCCTGTACTTTTATGCAGCATAGAGAGGCCAGAGAAGAGGTGAGGATTTCACCAGTAAGTTTAGGAACAATGCAGGGAACTCCAGAAAGGAACAAGCTACTACTGCTGAGATGTCTCCAGCCAAAGGAATCCCACTGCTATCTTTCCAAAACTACCACACCAGCCAGTCTATGCATTGACCAGCAGCAGCATGGGAGAAGGGACTGCGCTTTCCCAGATAGGATTAAAATGCATGCTGGCAACAAGCCAATGCAACTGAAGCTGAGAGAATCCCACACAGAGCAGAACAAAGCCAAAGTACTCCCCTCTCTTTGCCCTTGTGGTTAAGAAGGGAAGTGACAGTGGGGGGAGACCTCCTGAAAAGTGGGTGTTGGATGAGAAGGGACTGAGAATTGTAGGAGAACGAATTCTTGTCTTGTGCAGAACTGGATCTGCAAGGTTTCTAGCAGGAAATGCTTCTGGGACGTGTGCTCTGCTGGGACAGCCTGGAGCCAAGGGCAGGCAGAGACCCATGTGAAGGAATGCTCAGGCATTCCAAAGTTCTCCGAGGGGGTCTCTCTCCATCCCCCGCCCCCCCAAAGAATCCACCGCAGAGAGGAAGTTGTGCAATCTCAGGCTGGGCAGCCGGCCAGGGTCTGCGTGTGGAGGGGAGGGAGAAACGTGGGAGGAAGCTGGTTTCCTGGCAGCTAGCAGGGGAATTGCGGGAGTGAGAAAAGGGCCTTGAAAATCCCAGGACACAAGCAGAGAACAATTTGAGAGTCCTGGATCCTAGGTGGAAGGGCCCTCGGTTCCTGTTGCTAGAAGAGGATGCTGCTAGCAGGGTAGTTCAGATTTCCTGCTCCAGTGTAGGTGGATTTCTGACCCCCTACTCTAAACACCATAGCCTCCTCTTCTTTTGTGCGGACCTACAACAGCATGGAGCCACTCTGGCCATCCCCTCCAGCTTTTGCACTCTCACTGCCTTGGCTAGCAACTCTTCAGAGGGAGGAGCAAAACGAAGCTACTCTAACCCTGAGCTCAGGACAACACAAACCAAGAACCAAATGTCCTCCTCAAAAAAGCAAGCCAGAAACTGTAAGGATCAGAACAAAACTCCCCGTTGCATTTCCATTTCACCATGGTCCCACTGCTGCCCAGCGAGGAGTCTGAAGCACTAACAAAAGTAGAGGTGTATCATCTGGACAGCACAGGGTGCAGGTCCACCAAGGACCCAGGATCCCCAGCACTTTCTGCAGAATGGGAATTTAACAGAGTTTGCCTGTGTCTACATTTAAGGCTCAGGAAGAGGCCCTATAATCCAGCCCTTGACTACAGCATGAATACTGCTTACATCCTCCCTGACGGAGTTATTTGCGAATCTAAAATGATCATTTCAGTTATCCAGTTTGTTTGACAAGATTTCCCTGGGTCAAATCCCCATTAAACTGAACAATTCTCATCCCTCAAACTTCCCTTAGAGGAACAACACTTACAGGGCTGTAATTTTCAGCCTTTTTCCTAGTGCCTTTAAATACTGGTTTTCCAGTTGCCTGGGATTGCTCTCCTATAATTGTAGCAGAAGTGCTACCAGTTACTATAGCAAGGCTTGGAACAATAATGATTAACCTATTTGATCCCTAATCTCTTATCTGTGGACAGAACAATCCTTACCCAGTGCCTGGTGTACATCTCTTGGCTTCAAATACTTCATTGCACTGTTTAAGCAATCACAACCTCTCCCAGGGGCCATCAGGGTTGGATGGAGCAGGAGTCCTGGGGGGTGGGCAGATAGGAGGTGGGGCCCGGGCCATGACCCCCCTACCCTAACCGGCTCCCCATACAATTTACAAAACCCAATGCGGCCCTCAGGCCAAAAAGTTTGCCTGCCCCTGTGTTAATCCCTAAGGGGAAGGAGCACAGCTCTCCTCTCCAAGGGGAGAGTGAATATTAATCCTTTTGCTGCAGGGTCTTATTGTAGAATACAGCAGCAGTGTTCTTTGTCCACTAGGTACTGGGAAGGAGAGACACCAGGTCCCTACAACACAGAATACAAAGTGTATAGTGCTCACTTTGTATTTATTTTTCATTACAAGTATTTCCACTGAAAAAAATAAAAGATAGTATTTTTCAATTCACCTTATACAAGTACTGAAGTGCATTCTCTATCATGAAAGTTGAACTTACAAATGTAGAATTATATACAAAAAACTGCATTAGAAAATAAAACAATGTAAAATTTTAGAGCCTGCAAATCCACTCAGTCCTACTTCTTTTTCAGCCAATCGCTCAAACAAGTTTATTTACATTTGCAGGAGATACTGCTGCCTGCCTCTTGTTTACAATATCATCTGAAAGTGAGAACAGGCGTTCTCATGGGGCTGTTGTAGCTGGTGTCCCAAGATATTTATGTGCCAGATGCACTAAAGATTCATATGTCCCTTAATGCTTCAACCACCAATTCCAGGGGACACGCGTCCATGCTGATGACGGGTTCCGCTCGATAACAATCCAAAGCAGTGCGGACTGACACATGCTCATTTTCATTATCTGAGTCATATGCCACCAGCAGAAGGTTGGTTTTCTTTTTTGGTGGTTTGGGTTCTGTAGTTTCCACATCAGAGTGTTGCTCTTTTAAGATTTCTGAAAACATGCTCCACACCTCGTCCCTCTCAGATTTGGAAGGCACTTCAGATTCTTAAACCTTGGGTCGAGTGCTGTAGCTATCTTTAGAAATCTTGCATTGGTACCTTTTTTGCGTTTTGTCAAATCTGCAGTGAAAGTGTTCTCAAAATGAACAACATGTGCTGGGTCACCATCCGAGACTGCTAGAACATGAAATATACGGCAGAATGCTGGTAAAACATAGCAGGAGACATACAATTCTCCCCCAAGGAGTTCAGTTACAAATTTAATTAATGCATTATTTTTTTTAAACGAGCATCATCAGCATGGAAGTGTGTCCTCTGGAATGGTGGCCGAAGCATAAAGGGGAATATGAACGTTTAGCATATCTGGCACATAAATACCTTGCAATGCTGGCTACAAAAGTTTGTCTTAGTGACTGGCTGAACAAGAAGTAGAACTGAGTGGACTTGTAGGCTCTGAAGTTTTACATTTTTTGTTTTTTAGTGCAGTTATGTAACAAAAAAAAAATCTACATTTGTAAGTTGCACTTTCATGACAAAGAGATTGCACTACAGTACTTGTATGAGGTGAATTGAAAAATACTATTTCTTTTATCATTTTTACAGTGGAAATATTGGTAATCAAAAATAATATACACTTTGATTTCAATTATAACACAGACTACAATATATAGGAAAATGTAGAAAAAAATCCAAAATATTTAATAAATTTCAATTGGTATTCTATTGTTTAACAGTGTGATTAAACCTGTGATTAATTTTTTTGAGTTAATTGCGTGAGGTAACTGCGATTAATTGACAGCCCTACTGACAAGCCTTTCCTTATTATAAAGATACCCTCGTGCCCCCTCCTAGCCACCGCTGGAACAGAGTCCTCCTGCTCCTGGCCCATACCTCATATTCAATGGCCAGGTCTGTGTGATCATCAATGTCCACTTTCGCCATCAGTACCTTCCCCTGCTGCTTGGCCACCATCTTCTCTAACCTGGGGCCCAAGATCTTGCAGGGGCCGCACCACCTCACAGGGGAGAAAAAAAGCAGGCATTACACAAGGAACTGCCGGGCAGCCACAGTTTGGATTCACACCATTCATGGTATTTCAGAGGCAACCTGATCACCACCTAACCCCTCCTCCCTACACTGACCTTTACACTATGGGAAATTACCACAATTTAAACACCACGGGTGAACATTAACCAACCACTTTTGCAATTGTTAGACTCAGAATCACAGTCCGAAAGTAACACAGATTCTGAGACTGTCTACACTATGGAGCCTATGCTGGCATAGCCCCTTAGCATAGACACAGACTACACTGAGAGTATGTCTACACTACAGTGGCACAGGTATAGTGTTGCTGCTGTAGCATAGATGATTCCAACATGGACAGAAGGGGGTTTTCTGCCAACGTAGATAATCCATCTTTCAGAGGCAGTAGCTAGGTCGATGGATGAATTCTTCCATCAAACTAGCCGTGTCTTACAGTGGGGGTTAGGTCGACTTAACTATGCTGCACAGGGGTGACAGTTTTCACAGCCCTGAATGATGTAGCTAGGTCAACCTAAGTGTCAGGTGTAGACCAGGCCTGAGAAAAGGAGTTTTTCTCCCAGTGTAGGAACACCACCTCCCTGAATGACATCAGCTATGCCAACAAAAGCCCGCTTCTGTTGACATAGCTGCATCTACACTGGGGATTTTGTCAGCAAAGCTATGCCAGTCAGGGGTGTGGGTTTTTGATACCCCGACCAACGCAGCTATGCCAACAGAACTTTTAAGCATAGACCAAGCCTGGATTGCAACACAGTTTAGAGAGAGGCTTCCATAAGAAAGGCATTATTAAATCAGGGGAGGGTGGGAAGAGGCTGCTATTCAGTGTTAGCCCATTACTCTTGAAACACCTCAGTCTCCAAAGTGATTGCTGTGTTTACCTAAGGGCTCTCTTCCACAGCAAAATCACTGTCACGGAGAGGCTGTATCTATTTAAAAAAGAAAAAAAACAACAACAGACACTACCTGTACCAAACTCTGGTATTAGGAAGAGTTTGAATGGAAGGCATTGGTGCTAGTCAAAATGCTGAGTTCTTCCTCTAACTGCACTTGAAGTCATACTGCCCCACTTACATTGATCTCAACCCCACCTACCCTTACAAAGAAAAGAAGAATAAATTCCCAAACCCTTACATCGTGTTTTAGATTGAAACCACAGCTGGTTTTGCTCCCTACGCTACTCCCAATAGCTCTTGGTCTCTCTACCTGCAGACATACAAGTTGATCCTCCTTCTCATGGCCCCAGTCATCATTAGTTTCTATTTCAGTCTGTTGCTCTTGTCCATTTATATTGAGAGTTTTCCAGACTCTATGCTCTGTATTTGTACAGAACCAAGCACAAAGGGGGCCTTTATGTTGCTTGGGGGCACTAGGTGCCACCAGACACAAATGAGACAGAAAATTTCTATTACTATAATTTAGCAGATAAAATCTTGGAATATTTTCGTTGTTAGTCAATGGCAATATCTTTATCAATGCCAACTGCTGATGGTATTTGCAAAGGCTTTTGCTAACAACTCATTGTTACTGGTGAAAGTCTTTCCCCAGTGTAAACAGCATTCAAAAAAAATGGGACAGACATTATCTAATTTGATTATAGATGAAGCTATGAACTTCTCAGCAACTACTTCTGGTCACCCGGGAACTAGTAGCTGCTAAAGAAAACATGAAGGTAACAAGAGGAGTATTTGGGAATGATTTAAAAATTGCATGGAGATTAATTTGGAGGACACAGATCACTTGTAATACACAGCTTTCATGCAGCAATTTGTTCTAGTTGTCTGTTTGGGCCTAAATGTCAATAAAGAAAACATAACGAGTTTGTGCAGCACATTTAATGCTAGCAAGTATCCTTATGACACAGTAAGGAGAGAACCTCATGAGCCATAATGGGAGAGAGCTGAACTGTAGGGCAGTAAAATGTAGCAATAAAATAGATTCTGGTGTTTGTCGCTGTCAGGCTGTGGGCTGAAAAAGGTGGAAGCCAAAATAATATTAAGTAAATAAAAGGCTTACTAAGACCGGGGTTGTTATGCTTGTTCATTCTGTTACTGTGATGAAGTGGGAATCTTCTGTAATATTCTCATGAATGATATGCATGGCAGTGACTTACTTGACTAGGGATTGCCACCCTACAGGTGTAGAGCAGGAGATATGAGGTGTTCGGTCACCTAACTGTCTGGGCCAGTATGAATGGGTCCTTGAAGGGACTGACCCATATCATTGGAGGATCCAGAAAGACTATGGGAATCCCAACAACTGAACAATTGACAGTGATCCACAGAGAACTCCACACAAAACTCCGGCAGGTGGAACATGTGAACTCAGCAAGAGGAAGACAATGGACCAAGAGATGAGGAGATGCTAAGATACAAGCTGGTCTTTGGAGAGACATGGGACTGACAGACAAAGAGACACAAACATGGAGAGTGTGGAAACTGATTCCACGGCCGCTTTGCTGGCTGATTGCACTGGCTTGGCCAGTATGGATTATGTCTTAACCTTTAAGTCTCTATGCTAACTTAAGGACTTTCCAGTGCTGTGTTACATTTGACTAATAAACCCTACTCTGTTTGGTGTCACTGCAAATACTTGCTGAGGTGCACTGGTCCTGGAAGACAGGAAGTGGCTCTGATAAGGAGTTATCTAAGTTGGACTTGCTGAGTAGAACTCAAGAGCCCAGACACTCAGTTTTGGAGACGCTGAAGCCGTGTGGCCGACCTTTAAGGAAGAATGGGCCCCCTTAGGGATCTGGCACACTGACAAGGTTCCTGTGTGTGTGTGTGTGTGTGTGTTTGGTGGGGGGGACAATGCAGGATCATGTGCCTCCCCATATTTCTGCCAGGGGTTGCCAGCCCTGCTCCGTCACATGGGATGGCTGGACCCCCTCCCTGTCCGGCAGCTGCTGGGGGAGCCAGTGAGCTGAGCCCTGTGGGGAGAGGCAGGAGCAACAGCTGCGAGCTGCAGGGAGGGGCCACTGAGGTTGGGGGGGAGGGAGGACACCTGCCTGGTGGGGTGCCATAACTCAAGCTGTTCTGGGGCAGCCAAACCTTTAAACTGTGTCTCTCCCCCCCCCCTCCATCAGCTGGTATATGTCATCTCTGGCGGCAAGGGATCGTTTAAAGCTGGGGAATAGCACAGATCCCATGGATCCATGACAATTACACAATCTGTGTTAACATCTCAGTGAAATACCATAAGTGTTACGTTTTGTATAGCATTCTGTATTGTTGACCAAACTTGCTAAAATCTTATACTAAACTCAAGAGTATTTCGCTATGTCTGCACTACAGAGCCGATGCCAGCACAATCCCTAGTGCAGAGGCAGCCTACATGACAGAAAATTTTCTGGTGGTGTAGGAACACAACCTCCCTGAATGACAATAGCTATGTTAACAGAGAAACTCTTCCTTCAATGTAGCTGCCTTTACACTGGAGGTTCTGTCAGCTTAGGTGTGTCAGTCAGGGGTGTGGCTTTTCCAGTCCCATGAGCAATGCAGCTATGCTGATATAACTTTTAAGCATAGACAAAGTTTAGTTCTCTGTGTCACGCAATAGCTTCTGAACGCTGCATTTGATCAATTCCAAAACTCCAGGGAACGTTCTAAACATCAATGGCCAGAACCCTATTGATTTTGGGGTTAAAAAATAAATAAATCAGAAAACCAGAAGGGGCAATGTGGGGGACACATGAAGCCCTGCCAGCTCTTTAGCCCAGTCACAACCACTTCTGCAATTATCTACAGCTCAAAAGAACTGGTTGATGGTAGCCATTAATGTCTTCCAGCATAACATACCCTGTCTCATCTCTGCTCATTCTCCCAATAGAATTTAACACATTGACATCCTGAATGACTTCTCTCCCAGAAAGAAAAATAACGGTGGAGGAAATAGAGCTGTGCACACAGCCTCTGGCATGGTGGGGGAGGAGAGTGGGGGACCCTGGTATGTGGGGAAGGAGAAAGGGAGACACAGAGAGTCCCTAGTTTGGGTGGGAATAGAGGGCATGGGGTAATGAGGGTCCACATAGAATTCTTGCCATGGGAGGAGAATGGGATACTGCAGGATAGATAAGAGAGTGACGGGGGGCACACAAAACCCCTGCTGAGGGGGAGGCTGTGGAATGCTTTGGAATGGGTGGAGGGAAGAATGGGGGAAAATAGAGAAAAGGGGCCATACAGAGTGTCTGCCATGTAGGGAAATGGGAACAGAGAGCTGGGGGAGGAAAATGAAGGGCACACAGTAACCTTTTGCTGGCAAGGCTTATTCTGTTCTAGGAACCGGTATGAACTATACTGACAAAAGTGCTTTTGTGGAGATAGAAGCTGTCTCTCCACTAAGAGGGTTTGCTGGTATAGCTATACCAGCAAACTTGAGTAAGTGTAGTGCTATATGAGGCCAGGTCTAACCCCCTCCTCTCATTCCTGATGGCCCTCCCTGGGATCCCTGCCCCATCCAACCACCCCTTCTCCCTGTCCCCTGACTGCCCCCTGCCGCCCCATCCAACTCCCCCTCCTTCCTGACTGCCCCCTCCCAGGACCCCTGCCCCATTCAACCCCCTGTTCCCCCCCGACCACCCCGCCCCCTATCCACATCCCCGGCCCGTGACCACCACCCCGAACTCCTCTGCCCTCTATCCAACCTCCCCCACCGCCCCCCCCGGCTCCCTGCCCCCTTACCGCGCTGCCTGGAGCACCAGTGGCTGGCAGCGCTGGAGCTGGGCCATGCCGCTGCCACCACGCAGCTCAGAGCACCCGGTCAGGCCGGGCTCTGCAGTTGTGCTGCCCCACGAGCCCAGAGCATTGCACCCGGTGGTGGAGCGAGCGAGCTGAGGCTGCAGGGGAGGGGGGACAGCAGGGGAGGGGCCGGGGGCTAGCCTTCTGGGCCAGGAGCTCGGGGGCTGGGCAGGATGGTCCCGCAGGCCGGATGTGGCCTGCAGGTTGTAGTTTGCCCACCTCTGCAATACTCACTGTGCATGAAAATCTACCACCACCGGCTTTTGGCTGTTCACAACTCTGTCCTGGAAGTCAGACCCATCCTGGATGTTAAAGGTGGCCCTGCAGACAGGTGTGGTAGAAAACGTCCTAATGGAAGCAGGCACAGTGATCTGGGTAAGAGGGACAAGTGATCTAGGGTAGCATGGTGCTGCCGACACCTTGGAGAGGATCGACACAAGTGGCACAGAGAGCTTTTGGGGGGAGATGGATAGAAACCTCCTCAGCACGAGTCTCTGGGCCATCTGTATAATGAAGGGGAAAAGGCATTTTGGATCAGCCCATGCCATAGAGTAAAGGAGAGCAGAGAAGGAACATTTCTGGATATTATGCTTCTGAACAGCTCTCCAGCTCCAGCAATTCCACTGCTGCTTCCCTCCCGCTTCCTACAGCTCAGCCAATGCCCCTCCATGCCATCCCTCCCCACAAGTGCTCCTTCTCCATGCCCTGCCACCCCATCTGTGCCATGCTAGCCTCCCAGTGCTCCTCCCTCTTATCCACAGCCCCCTACCATCACTGCCCCTTCCCCCCCCCCCCCACCCCCCCCCCCCTGCTCCGCGCTCCCCCTCCCCCACCGTGCCAGCCCTGCTCCCCTCCCCCTCCATGCCAGCCCTGCTCTCGTGCTCCGCGCTCCCCCTCCCCCACCGTACCAGCCCTTCACTCCCCGCTACCCCCCGTGTCCCCCACCCCGCAGGCGGCCGGCGCAGTCACCCCGCACGCTGGGCCCGGCGGCAAAGCGCTGTCCCCAGGTTCCCCCCACTCACCTTCCCGGCGGCGGAGGTGACGCAGACGCTGCCGGAGTCGCGCTGCCGGGGAGCTGATTGGCTGGGGTGGCGGAGGACGACCCTGAAAAACGGATTGGCTGGGGAAATGGATTTTTTCACGGCTTCCCGCTGATTGGCCCTTGAACAGCAACTTCGGGCCGCTGTTTTCTAGGTCTGGAAGATGATTGGCTGGCGAAGATGTCCTTCAGGACCCTGCGCGTAGTTCTAGGCTTTGGTTGGCTACCTTCAGAATCCAGGGTGGGCTCCTGGGTGCTGATTGGCTGCTGAGAAGGGCTGTTCAATAGCATGACCCCTCTACCCTCCTCCACCCGCTGCGCCCATGAACTGCCGAGCTCGGCAGTGCCTCCCTCACCCCCACCCCCACCCCGTGAGCATAGGGCGCGCGCAGGCTGCAGCCGCTGCGCGCAGACCTGGCACGGAAGGGGAGGGGGGAGAGCGCAGCTTGTGCCCCCTGCCCGGCCTCACAGCGCACCCCCTGCCCTGGGGTGGGCCTGGCCATGTGACACCTTGCTGGGCTGACCAGGCAGCGAGTGTGAAAAATCAGGACGGGGGGTGGGAGGTAACACAGACGCCTACATGAGACCAAGATATCAGCACTGTCCCTATAAAATCAGGACGTCTGGTCACCTTACACTGTGCCCCCGAGGCCAGTGCAAACCAGCACAGAGCGATGGGTCAGTGAATCCAGGAGGCTTTTGACAAATGGTCCCTGGTCACTACGACTAAACAGCTTAAAGAGGAGCAGATGCATTGCTGATGTTGCTTAATTCACCCTGCTCCTCCTTTAATATTTAGACCTAGAAACGTGGGCCTGGATGCATCAGTCAGGACTGGGACCCTATTGTGCTAGATGTACAAACATAGATTGTCAAATTCAAGTGCTTCAAAATCATGAGTCAGGTCCTAAAAATAATAATTGCTTAACAATTATTGTTAAGTTTTTTGTTTTTCAATATATATTGGATTCTTTTTATTTCCCTTTGTGTTTCTGAGCCTTGTTTTCAAGCTTTGCTTCACAATTATGACTTTCACTGACTAAAAAGTATGCTCTAATTCTGATGCAGACTCTTGAGTTCAGGAGATGGAGGTTTAAGAAAAACAAAACCTCCATAGAACACCCATGCTAAATGATGTTGGCAACCCAAAAGTGTCATTCTTCCTTATGTGTCAATACAGAACCTAGTACCCCACCACAGTGGTGTGCAGCATCACAAGTGCAGAATGGCCAGTGTGTTTCAGATCGGCTCTGTGGCGGGGCGACGACTCACAGGAGACTCACGCCTCCTGCTGGTTCCTGGGAATTAGCTCTGTTTCTAGCTCTGGAGTGCCCTTTGCAGGCCAGTGTCCTGCTTGCCACTGGACCCCAGTGCCCCTTTACCCTGGGGCTGCCCCCTGGCAATACCCCCACCAGTCTCTATGGGTCTGCCCTCTCTGGGAAACCCCGTACATACTCTAATCCCCACCTTGCCACAGTCTGGGCTACTGCCAGTTATTACCAAGCCCCCACTCCCTGGGGCAGACTGCAGTGTAAAAGCCACTCATCATAGGCAAGGGGGTTTGGACCTACTGCCTTCCTCTGCCTCCCAGTACCTCTATGGGCCTTGGAGCAGGCCCTGCAACCTGGGGAGTTGCCAGCCTGGAGCTCCCCTGCTCCTCTGGCTCGCCCCAGCCCTACTTCACTCCCAGTACCCTTTCTGCAGGCAGCCAGGCCCTGCTCTCGCCCAGCCTGGAGAGAGAGAGAGAGAGAAAAACTTCTTTTGGGCCTCTGGTTCACAGCCTTTTTATACAGGCCATGGCCTGGATGGGGCGTAGGCCAGCTGCAGCTGCTTCCCCAGTCAGCCCAGCTTAGCAGCTCTCAGCCACAACTTTCTCCCAGGGCTGACGTTAACCATTTTCCTGCTGGAGTGGGGGAGCCACTCCACTACAGGCTCCAAAGAAAATTAAGGATGATGTAAATATCAGATGATTATTATCCTGCCTATTGTCTTTGTGCCAACAGACTGATAAGCCAACCCTTAGCTTACTACCTCACTGTACACTGAGGCTGCCACCTGCAGTAACTTCTGCTACAAGGTGCAAAAAGGCAAAAAATTTCAAGCCAATGATAGTCATTACCACAAATAAAACCTTGCTAATTGTGGCACCTTCATTCTATCCCTGTTTATTCACCTGACAGATGGCAAGAACTGTCCTAACCTATTGTTTTTGTTGCCCGCTGCTTTACAGTGGATACAAGCTGGGGTAGTAACAAAGCAAAGTGATCCCAGTTTTGTGCAGTGAGCCCAGTTTTGTGCAGTGAGCCCAAATCCATAAGTAACTAGTCCCTGCTAGTTGCAATACAGCAGCATCCCACTACTTTGGAAACAACACAATCTATTCTCTGTCTTTGTTAAACTAAAAGATCTAAAAACTGTCAAAGCGCAGGTGGGGTGGGAAGTGTCTTTCACAGCATGGCGGGGAAGGGCTTTATAAAAACATGTAGCTTAGATGAAAGGTGTTGTTGGATCAACAGCTTTGAAGACTGAAGGCACCTCTTTAGTCTCAGATGGAGCAGTGGTCACTCACACACACACCCCCCTTCTACAACAGTGGTCTCCAAACTTTTTTGATCGCGCACCCCATCAGTAAAAAAAAAATTTGAGCACGCACCCCCCTCCCGCGCCAGCTCTACCATTTTTGCCAAAGCAAAAAAAAACAAAAACAAAAAAAACCCCAACCTCCTCCTGCTGCGTTGCGCACCCCCAAGGATCCTCTTGCGCACCCCACTTTGGAGACCACTGTTCTAGAGCAGTGTGTGGGCCAAATTAAGACTGTGCTGGGTGAAGACTATGTGTTGCTCCTGTGTCCCAGAGGGTGAGAGCAAAGGCAGTGCTGTGATTAGGGTAAATGGCACTGGTCAGATGAGTATTAACCTTGCAATTTATTTGTCCTACAAGCTCCTTTTGTCCAAAACCTGTTGGACTGGATTAAAGAAGGATCCAACATGGCAAGCATATAGGGGGTAGGATGTAAGAGTGGCTTGTTTTGCTGTTAATTGCTTTTCTCATACCAGTGGTCAGTCTACCTTTGCATACTTTGAATCCCTTACTCCCTTTATGGGCTGGATCCAAAGCTCACTGAAGTTTGTAGAAAAGCTATTGATTCTCATGGTTTTGGCCATACCTGCACGTATACCTATCCCCTCTGAGCAAAGGGTTAAAAAGCCAACAGTGGGAGCGATGTAAACGTTTTTTTATACTGCATTGGAAGAATATAACCATACAAAACATATACAACCAATTACAAGAGGCAGCAATCCACTTCAACAGGAGATATAATAAAATTAAATTGGGCATTAGTATTAAAATGAAATTCTGCTACGAAAAGTCATTACAAAAATGGCACCATGAGAGTTTGTGTTTATTGCTCCTTTGTGACATCCAGATCCAACTTGTCTGCTTTACAATTAGAATGGTTTTCCTAACTATCATCCCTGCTTGGGATTCCAAAGGGACAATGGATTTGGATTGGTTCAAGCGCCACCAAAGATGAAGTTGGAACTTAACAAATGTTATTGATTACATGAGTCGGAATGAGCATGATTCATTTTGTCAGCTGTTCTGGCTCTGCATGGGTGGCAGGAGTAAACAGTAAAACCTTCTGACATTGAAGTTAACAGATCTGATTCGGACACACAACAGGGAGCACACACTGGTGAAGAAGAAGGTGTCATTTGTAGTCACTTTTCAGAGCAGAACTGCAATCTAAGGGAACCCACATACTAGGAATTTACAGTCTCACGATCTTGTGTGTGGATATTACAGAGGGTTCTTTGTGTGTGTGTGTGCACGCATGCATGTGTGTACGTACAGTGGGCCTACTCTTGGCTTTAGTATTTCATAGACAATGAAACTGAACCTTTAGGTCAGACAGGCCGGTTAGCGCTCTCACTAGCCCTCCTAATTCCACCCCCCTTGGATAGTCCACATGTAGGATGCCCATGGTGAGTTGTGTGGGCTGCTTGGTGAATACAGACTTTTCAACCATCTCCCTCTGCGCCAGATTTGCATCTAGTGCAAACGGATGTAGTTCCATTAAAGGGAGTGGAGTAATACCAATTTACACCAGCTGAGACGCCAACTCTGTTTCTCCCGGTAGCAGCTACTAAGAGGATCCTTTGACAGCAGCAGCATTTTCACCAGTGTTCCCAGTTAAGAACGACACCCCTTCCAATCCCACACTCATCTCAACTGCTCCCCAATCTCTAGCAGCAAAGAGCTATAGGAACTGGGTCTTTATAGAAAGAGCAAGAAAATTTAAGGGGTCCCTGGGAAAGGCTACTTAGGGATCAGCTAATAGGGAGGGATTATTCAGGTCCACCCTCTCCTCCACCCATCTTACCGGGAAGCACAAATGCAAGGTATTCTCATGGATATGGGGAGAGCAGGAAGACTATTCCCACCTGCCCCTCCTCTACCTCTCAGAAATCATGGGGACATAGGAAGACTGAACTCAAACTCCTTGCCCTGATTAGTGGTTTCCAAGAAGTGAGAGGTCTGTGCCTATCAGATAATGAGCAATAAAACGCAGATAGACAATTTACCATACAACATCTGAAAGCTGTAAATAGGAACATCTGGGAAGAAAACTAGGAATACACATTTTAAATAGAGTGAAATGCACTGGAAGCTTTTTGGAAGGACATAGTGCAAATAGGACAGGTATTTTGCTAAAAAATACAGGGACTATCCCTTCTAAATAGGAGCAGCTGGCAAAGAATACCAACTCCACCAAGTAAAGGAATGGATTGGCCCTGCTACCCTATCTACTGACAGTTCACATTGGGTCTAAGCTTCCTAGGCTAGCTGCTCGCCATTAAAGAGGGAGGTGGCTTTTGGGACCCCCGTCCAGGCAGTGACATTATATTACCCTGCACTAAAACTAAATATACTGGCATGCACCTCATTGTCTCCATCAAAGTGCATGAAAAATTTTGCTTCTGAAGGTACCGCTTCTGAATTCAGTGAACATACAAATCTTCAAGTATAAACAAGAATGTACTGGACACAGCATCCAATGATCAGAGTCTCCAACCTGCCCTCAAGACGTGTGACTGTGTCACATCAAAACCGAAAATATTTCATGTTAAGCCATCTGTGCATCTCTTCTCTCTTTCCCTCCCCATACCTGTGATCCCTAGATGTTGCCCCAGACATTGGTCCGTAAGATAAATACAACACTGTCTTCAAGCACTGTGGGCTCTGCAGGGACAAAGGAGAAGCCTCCGCCTCACTGAATCTCAGCTTCTCACTTATCCTCCAGAGCACATCGGTCCCATCAGTCACAACAGATCTGAGCAGGTCTTTGGCAATATGTGGACAGCTGGAGGGATGGGCAGGAAGCCAGTGGCACATGAAAGAGGTTGGAATCCTGCTGCAGATGTGTGTTACGGTATTGTCACAACAGTCCCCATGGGTTTCAGTATGAATTGGGAAAGGTTAAAGTTCATCCTTGGTAGTCACAAGATAATGTAGGGGGCTACCTGGTATCACGTGATCCTTCAGCAACTGATCACGTGAACCTCTCTGGCCACCAAGCAGTTCATCTGTAAAGTGCATAACAGTGTGATCCTCCAGTAGGCCGGCTTCCACTGCATGGTGCCTAAGTCTTTCGTTACCCACAAGCCCTTGCATTCGCATGTATCCCTGCTGACAAAAGGGAGGCAGCTTCTGGTGAGTCAGAGCAAACAGGAAACAGGACTCTACAAATAAAACCAAAACAAGATTATGTAGAGATGCTCTGTAAATGCTTAATAATTCAGGGTCTCCCAACAAGTCAATCATTCGGAACTAACAGGATAAAGGTCAGGGACAGTGACAGCACTTCTCCAGCAAGCACCCTGGCTTGATTAATCCAGAGTAATTAATTGTCTCCCGCAGAATATGTAAATTCAGAGAGGGAGGAACAGAATTTGAGATTGAAACCTGGTTCTTCAATTTGGTAGCTCAGAAGTGCTTCCCTCTGTGGCCCCATGAAATTCATATATAGGTTTCCTAACCCATTCTCCAGCTCAGGAGGTGAGAGACTGTAGTTTTCCAGCTTTGATATCACAGAGTTCTTTTCTCTCATCCCACAAGCTGTCCCTACTGTTTCCAACTGAAAGCAGCTGTGGTACTTGTCAGCACAAATCTCATTTCAGATGGAGGAGTGGGGAAGCTGCAGCCTGTGGGGTATTGAATCAAGACCTAGCAATACACTCCCAGGAGACAGGACCTGCCAAGGGGCACCCTCCTGTCCCTCCGCCTCTTGGGGCAATTAAGATCAGAGGCCATTTTGGAACGGGTGAGCTCCTGATATGACCCAGCACTTCTTCCTGTTTCATGGAGTGCATCCAACTAGTAGTAAGATTTCCCAACTGCCCAGTAGTCAGAGGGATCTTTCATGTTAACTAAACCGTTGGCCTGCTACAATCCTATCTCAGTCAGATATGTCTCTCATCCCCCATTTCCAGTTAGCATCCAGGTTACCTGCAAAAAAGCTGCGCAGGTCAGTGTCCAGGCAATTCTCCAGGAAGCGTCTAAGTGGGAGGATATGGGCGTTTGGGGCAGTCCAGTCTGTCAGGAAATCCTCCACAATATGATGGACAGCATCTGGGCGGGGGAGAGGCCAGTCTGGAGGACGAAGCCTCATCTCACGCACTGTTGACAGAACAGATCATATTAACCAAGGAGAAAATGTGCTTTTTTCCTCCTTTTCCAGAATCAAAATAGAATTCGGAAGAGCTCAAGGAGATGGGAAGTTAATACTGCAGCAGCTATTCCAGCTTCCAGTCCTGGCCCCCCTAACTTTCAACATCTCGGACACTGCACCTCGTTCTGATCTGCAGCACGAATCTCAGCTATTCCAGTCCTGGACTGACTCTCAGCTCTGTCAATGCCCCTCACTCCTGCCCTGCAGCACCCCCTGCTTTTCCAATCCTGGATGGATGGACGCACACACGACACCCACCATTACTATTTTAGCTCTGATCCCTCTGAACCAGCCAGTCATGCCAAACTGTGCTTAGGCTTTATGTTATTATTAACCAAACTCACTTCCCTTGTGACCCATGCCAGAATTTGAAGCTAGGTCCCTGGAGGTGAAATGTCAACGCTCTAATCTTTGGATCCTCCCAGGGAAATTCATTGTGTGTGCTTTTTTATTTGCTTTGATGTTATGCTGCTTTTAAATCTTGCTCTTGGCTTCTTTCATCAGAGCTGGGGGTTCTCCTGTCAGTATACGATGTCTCAGAGATGGGTACACTACAGGACAGCAGTTGACTTTGGCAATGACACTAGGCACCGCAGTACTTACATAACTCAGAAGTCACATGGTGTGACGTTGCACTCTATATGATTTTAGGAAAGTATGCTGATGATTATGAATATAATGTTAATGGAATATGCTTCATGCAAAAGGTCTCTTGTAAGGTATCATTACAAAGCTTATAATCTACTGAGTGTAGTCATCCTATTTGTATAAATGTATCATTCTTGTATCTGAAACTAGAAAGATGAAATATAACTCTGAGGGCCTATTGTAATTATGCAAAGTGTGGGCCATTAATGGTGGTTTGGAATCTTGATGGCTCCCATCAACCAGGACAATTGACTACAGATGGCTCTGTTTTACTTGTAACTCTTCCTGTATACATGTGTGCTGGCAAGTGGGTAATGAAGTCTTACAGTGACATGTGATCATGTCACCTGAACTGGAATCCATCTTTAACCTGGTGCTTTTCCATTGAAAAGGAGGGGGTAGGAACAGGGGCGTAGCCAGGTGGAGGGAACGGGGGAGCGGGGAAAAAAAAGGTGCCACCCGCTGCGGTGCTTTTACTGACGGGGCGGCGCTCCGGGTCTTCAGCGATACTTCGGCGGCGGGACCTTCACTCGCTCCGCGGGTCTTCGGCGGCGTTTCGGCGATGAAGCTTCAGTGCCGCCAAAGACACCCGGAGCTAGTGAAAGGCCCGTCGCCAAAGTACCGCCGAAGACCCGGAGCGCCGCCCCGTCAGTAAAAGTGAGTAAAATTAAAAAGGCACCACTTGTGCTCAGTGGGGGAGCGGCCGCTGCCTTGCTCCCCCCCCAGCTACGCTACTGGGTGGGAACCCAGAGAGGGACAAAGGACTCCCGCCTTATGCAAAAGATATATAAGTGGGTGGAACAGAACAAAGTCAGTGGGCCATCATGAGAAATGCCCTAGCTACCACCTGAGCTGGAACAAGGGCTGTACCAGGGGAAAGGATTGTGCCCAGACTAGGAAGGCGTCCAGTCTGTGAAAGAAACTTATTGAAACATCTCTGAGGGTGAGGTTTTATCTGTATTCAGTTTTATTACTGGATTAGACATAGATTTGCGTGTTTTATTTTATTTTACTTGGTCATTTACTTTGTTCTGTTTGTTACTACTTGGAACCACTTAAATTCTACTTTCTGTATTTAATAAAATCACTTTTTACTTATTAATTAACCCAGAGTATGTATTAATACCTGTGGGGGGCAAACAGCTGTGCATCTCTCTCTATCAGTGTTATAGAGGGCGAACAATTTATGAGTTTACCCTGTGTAAGCTTTATGCAGGGTAAAACGGATTTATTTGGGGTTTAGACCCCATTGGGAGTTGGGCATCTGAGTGTTAAAGACAGGAACACTTCTGTAAGTTGCTTTCAGTTAAGTCTGCAGCTTTGGGGCACGTGGTTCAGACCCTGGGTCTGTGTTGGAGCAGACTGGCGTGTCTGGCTCAGCAAGACAGGGTGCTGGAGTCTCAGGCTGGCAAGGCAGGAAAGCAGGGGCAGAAGTAGTCTTGGCACATCAGTTGGCAGTTCCCAATGGGGTTTCTGTGATCCAACCCATCACACATGGCACCAGGCAAAGGGAAACCATGCACATCACTTCCATAGGATACTGGATTCTTCTGGACAGTTGAAATGTTCCCCAACACCCCTTTTCTGCCCCCAACTTGAGGTTTCAACCACCACCTGGCCACTTGTCACAGTTTCAGGGTAAACGCACCTGTATTTCCCTCTCTGTGGTCCCTCGAGGACACCCACTTAAAGATTTCTGGCTCCCAACACCAGTTCATATCAGTCTTTAGACCAGAATGAAGGCCCTGAATCGGTTTAAGCTTGGGCTATTTATCCAAAAGTCCTTTATTTGTCTGTTGGTCAGTGGATTTGAACCAGAATATGTGAGCCTTCCCAGGAAATGTTACTTCTCTGCAGATGTTATAATCAGTGATTTCCCTAAATCATCCTCTACTGTTTTCACTTCCTGGAGGAGCTGTTGTAGCCCAAAGATATTGCAGGAAGTTGCCATATCTGACACCACTCATCAGTGATGTCTTCTGGATGACTGAAGAGCAGCGCTGATGAGTTCCAAAGGAACTTCCCTTCCCTCTTCCATTTCTTTATTTTGTATTCTTATTATTTGTACTACTGTAGGGCCTAGGGGCCCTAGTCCTAGACCAGGACTTCATTGTGCCAGGTGCTGTACAAACAGATGATCCCTGACCCAAGAGGCTTCCAAGGATCAGACAAGAGACAAAAAATTACTATACACTGATGGGGTGGGTCGGTTACAAGTACACCATGAGCACCTACAGCAGTGGCTAGTATACCACAGGGGAACAACTTCAAGGAAGCAGGGGAAGATGTCTAGGATGGACTCAAAATTTCCTCTTGTCCTGAACCATCCTTAACTTTCCATCTTGTACATATGGGATAATCAGGGTAGAAGGGTGAGGAGGGATGCTTGTCAGCTTACCTGTGGGGAGTCGTTTGTAGTAATAAATAACAGGATGCAGGAAGTTAGACTGCCAGGCATGTTGTGCCTCCCCCACTGCTCGGTTGTAGTAGAAGACATCCTTGTCAGCCCCAGAGAAATTCTTCCCATACTCCATGATGACAACAAAGAGCCCGTTGTGGGCCTTTCTCCCTGTGTGCAATTCCAGCTCTGCCAGGATCCCGACTGGATACTCCTCCAGGTACTCAAATGCCATGGCATTCCTAGGAGTCACAACCACATTCATGAGATCTTTCTACAAGGAACAATCTAACCAGACAACAAGGGGTTAAGGCAAATACATAGCACCCAATATATCCTCATTGGCTGAGGCCACTGAACACCATCAGATGGTAATGACTTTCAGTCATCATTCATCTGGTTTGGACCACACCTAGTGATGTAATAGGATATTGAGCTTTTTAAATCCCTACAAGTCTCCATTATTTCCAGAACAAGGGACCCTTCTTCCCAGGGCTTAAATTCAGCCGAAGCCATCCGGCGCAGAGTCCCAGTGCACCCCATGGGGCTGGAGCTCTGATCCCTGGGGCTCCGGGAAATATTTGGAGAGAATTTAAGCCCTGCTTCTCCCCATCCAAAACTGAGACAGCATATCTTGTTGAAAGCTTTTCACCAGGGAAATTCAAAGGGGAATCCAGAAATACAGTTTTGACTTCAGCAGGAGTTTTTGGTTTGTTTTAGCCCCTAAAGAGAAGGGACTTATTGATGGAGCAGAGTGCCGGGAATAATTACTCACTCACTCTCTCAGCAGAATGATGTCACCCAGGACACTGAACATCTGGTATAGTCCAGACGCCTCATTTACCCGTTTGATGATGGAATTTGTCAACTGTGTAATGGGGTAGACTGATGATGGCCAGGGGACTCCGTGATGACGATGTTCCAACAAGTGATGGACAGCACGAGCTAGGACAGCAAGTCAAGAAAGAAAAGGCTCACTTTAAAATACAGCTCACACCTTTAAGATAGTGAATTGCATAACAAGGAGACACATACAAGCAACATCAGGACAGACAAGATAGATACTAGACTATAGCAAATCATGTGATCTCCACCTCAGCCAATCGGCACTAAGAATTCTCCCCAAGGTTGCTCACACTGAGTGGACAGTCCTCAGAAAGCTGAGATGATCCTAACCGTCTGGAAAGTAAGGGAGTTCTCTTTGTGACTCATTTCACCAGAGCAGCAGCCTCTCTCAAGTATAAGAATTTTCAAAAAATATTAAGGCCTCTGTCCAAAACTCTGCTCCACAAAACAGACCTCTCACCCACAACCACTCACAAGACAGTATACATGATGGCAAGAACTTATGCATTGTGTTATATAAATAAGAGATAGAAGGCAAGAGATAGGAAGACAAACACGCAAAGACAAAACAAAAAATGACATAACCAAAGACAACAGATATGGGCCAAAATCTTTTCCACAGCCTGTCCTTCACCCCATACCTTGCTATGCAATCGCAAACTGGATATATCACATTCTCACAATGAGGACTGTGTGATATACTAAAGACTGAAGGTGATCAGGTAACATTCACTAATCCACTACTAGCCTGTGAATCGTTCCTTCCCGCCTCAGCCCTTCTTTCCCAACTTTTGCCCATTCTGTACATCCAACGCTCACTTGTATATCGGAATCCATGGATAAAGCCCCCAGCAGATTTCCTGAAGTCGATAGAGTGGCTAGCAGTGCCCAGAACAAAGAGCCCCCGGGTGCCTCTTGACTCATAACTGGGTTTGATCAGAGGATACTTCTTCTTATTCCCTTTCCCTGGCATCAGTCTAAGAGATCTGGGTGCACAAAAGAGCAGATTAAGCCAGTTAGGAAGGGGAGATTTGAGGGTAGGTGGCTGAGCGTATCTGGAGGAGCATAGGTTATGCTCTGGTCATTTTGAAAGATCTCGCTTCCTGCTTCCACTGCCCTCAAAAGGGTTCATTCCTTTCTCCAGCCAGGAGCACACCGAGGGAATTTTATTAGAAACCAAGAGTATCCATTTTAAGGTGGTTTTGGGTGGGGTCACATTTGGGGCTGAGCCACTTGACACAGTAACACTCCCATTTAAGAAGAAAGCAGAGTTACTGAGATCATTTCCAGTCTGTATTAGGAGACAAGCCAAGGCAGAGAGTGACGAGAATATGCGCTGAGGGATGAAGACTAGAAAAAAGCTTCGCTGTATGGATCTGGATCTGTACACCACTGATGCAGTCACCAGCTGACAATACCCACGGGACATCAGGGACTCAGGGCCTTCAGCTCCAGAGACATAGGCCTCTCCCCAGGGAGCCAAGGAAGCAGGTCTGCAAATTCAAACAACTCCACTCACTCAGGTCTGACCTCCCATCTGGTAGAGAGCAGTGGTACACGCTTTCTCACACACCCACATACATAATCTCACTTTCTCTGTTCCTTCCTCCTCCAGGCCCCGGTTCACCCTCACCTGTTGTATATGGAGAAGTCAAACTTCCAGCCCAGGCAGCGGATGACACGGTCGTAGGGTGCCCGGGTGGCAAAGTTGTCCAGCTCATCCTGTGGGAGAGTGATGGATTCTGCACCTGCACTGCTGTTGCTGTTCTCCAGATAGAATTTGAGAGTGATGTGCAGCTTCCCTTTCTTATCCTTGACAATAGCCAGATCTTCCAAGTCACCCTCCAGGAGCCCATCCAAAGACTTCAGCTGGTATGTATCTAGGAGGCCATTGTTAATTGCTCTGAGGAACAGGGAGAATATAAGAAAGAAGAGGGATCTGGGGTTCAAAAACTGCTCCTGGAAACATGACAAGTGTATTACGCTTCCTACGATTCTGTCCCGAAGCACACAATAGCTATCCTACACTTGGTGCCTTTTGGGTCTGTGGGAATTTGGTGCTGGTGAGATGTGCCAGATTGACAGTGCTGGAGACAGGCATCCTTTATGTACCACCCAAGCAGGTACAACGTAGATAGTGGCAATGCAAGCTTCCCTCATACTGCCTCACCAGTACACCTCACAACAATAAAAGGAGAGCTCAGTCTCCATTCTATCTTTGGCCCCCATTCCCAGAGTATCTGAGTGTTTCATGGTCATTAACATGTTCATCTTCCCAACACCCTCGTGAAGTAGGGCAGTGCTATTATCCCCATTTTACAGGTGGGGAAGAGAAGCACAGACTAAACTTGCTCAAGGTCACACAGGGCATCTGTGGCAGAGCAAGGAATTGAACCTGGGTCTCCTGAGCTGGTGCCCTAACCACTGGACTATCCTTCCATGGTCCAATCAATTCTGGGCCTCCCTTCTGAGATAGCAAGCAAGAGGCCAATTAGCGATTGTAATGATGACAGATTTTATGATTGTTTCCATTAGGAACTGTCAGAGACTCCCCCTACCAACTCATTTCACAGCCATGAAATAGACAACTTTCAGTAACTGCAAACCTGGGCTGGATTAAAACATGGGCCTAAAGGTGAAAGGCCCCATATCCCATTACTAATCCTCCAAGCCATTAGTCTGCTGCACCAATCTGCCCAGTCTCATCAGCCAATGGCAATTTCACTTGGTTAATATTCAATTCACATTAAAACCATGAAGGACAGCAGCCTCATACCTTAAATCTCCAACGTAGTGGGTGGCCCAAGAGAGGCGAACGCGGGAGCGGCTCACCATGTGTATGAAATTGGTGACGCCCAGAATGTTTTCTGCTGTCTCAAAGGCAGAGTTCCCCCGACCCAAGATCAACACACTCTGGCCAGCAAAGTCCTCTGGGTTGATGGACACAGATTCATAGCCCTCAACATATTCCGAGCCGGGGAAGTTTACCACATTGGGAACCCATGTTCCAGTGGCTACCAACAATAGGCTGCAAAGAGACATGATGAGAAAGCATTGTCAACATTAGGGAACATAGGAATTGCCACATAAAATCTCATCCACCATCTCACCTCCTGTAGTACAGGATTACACTACTGCTACCTTGTTCAGTGTAATGTTCTGCAGCCTGCCATACTGACCCAGCTGTTTAATGCATTTTCATTGCTCAGTACTACATAGCATGGGTGGAAGTGTCATCCCAACTTCAATTAGTGATCTGCTTATTCTCCATACCATGAGGGTCAATAATCCTTGTAATTTTATCCTACCAAAGGCCATTGCAGATGTTATGCATAAATGTCAAATCTTCTCCAAGTCTCCCTAAGCTTTTTGTATTAAAAAAACCCAGTGCCAGTGAGTTTCACAGGTTAACTAAATGGCGCATGGAAAGTATTTCCTTCTACACATTTTAAATGTGTTGCCTTTAATACAGTATATGGAGTGCTCCATGTAATTTTATTATGGGACAGAAAATATCTCAATTTCAAAAAATAAACTAGATGATAATAAAGCAAGCAGAATCATCTCACAGGCCCTCTGTTCCAACTGTTATTTAATGTTAGTGCAACATCTAAGAGGTGGAAAGGAATATTAGGTAATCCTGACTAGCCGCACTGTCTACTGTTCCAGTTCTGAGCTGTCCACACAACTCTATGACAGCACCTCATTCCTAACTGGTAGCACCCCATTATTCTAGTTCTGCCCCAAATCCATCCTTCAGACAATGCACCTCAGTCCTGACCTGCTAGTCCAGTTCTGGGCTCCTAACGAGTATCTGGAATCATATAATAGGGTTTAGAATACAACCATCTCAGACTCAAAACTTTCATGGTTTTATGCCAAAATGCTTGTTTACTGAAACTGCTTTACCACAGGAATAGAAATAACACCTCTGTCAGCACTTCAAACTTCTGCAAACTATGTGTAGCCAAGTACATTTTCTCGCAGAGGCTGTAAGCCACTGATGAAGTTGGTTAAAGCCTTGAGTCAGTTGGACATTTATAAAATAATGTCTCATGCTCTCATTAATGATTTGGATATAAACAGGCGGCACAGTTTTTCTGTTGGCATGTTGCTCAAGGAAGGTGGCGCTTTTTCAAGAATTATGTCACGTCACCTACAACCCAACAGGTAGCTATGTACTAGGCTCATGGAAAGCTGCATAGCCGACCAGGCCCACTCTGCTGGTTACCTGCATCTGTAGTTCTGGCTGTTATGGTCTGTAAGAATGAAGTAATGGCCATTCCATGCCTGTGAGTCCCTCTCCAGTCTCACATGGATGATGGCAGTGTTGTATTGAACCCGGAGCTCCAACATAGAAGCAAAGTCTTCAAGGTAATGCACCATAGTGTCAGCCTCAGGGAAGAAGTCATGAGAGTAGTGTCGGAAAAGCAGTCGGCTGTCATGGCTGAGAAGGGAGTTCCAGTCATGGCGAAGATTGAACTCGCTGTTGGACTTGCCAGTGTGTCGTTTATTGATGCTGATGAGCTTGCGATGGCGTGGATAAAGGGCAAAGAAGCTGCCAGGCGCATGGCTACGCTCAAAGACCAAATAGTCCCGGCCTGCACGTTGGAGGAAATAGGCCATCTGCAAGCCTGAGGGGCCAGCACCAATGATGCAATAGTTGTGGTGTTTAAGGACGGAGGCACCGTCAGTGCAGGAAGAGCCCATGTAGAAGGTAAAGGTTAGGAGCAGGCCCCATGCACACTGGGCAGCAGGCGGGGCCATCATGGGAACAGCGAGGCCAGCTCTGTTCAAAACAAAACCCAGTCACAAGAAACTTGCAAGAGCCCAGTGGGGTTACAAGGAAATCACTCCAGCGCTCAGTTTTGGGGTGAATCCACCTTTGCACGGGCACTGCAGACCCACCAGGCGCTGCTATGGATGCACCTAGTCCACATCTTGCTACCTCCTTGCCCAGTCTCTGGTGCTAAACCCTCGCCCCTCCCTGGTACGCCTCCATCTTGGCAGACCCCACATGACCGGGGAGCACTGCCCCCTAAAGTGAACTTCCCCCCACTCAAAGGGAAAAGGGGGTGTCACACACCTCCTGCACACACACTGCCCCACTCCACCTCAGCCAATGGGGAGCAGGGATGTGAAGCCTCCAGTCAATGGGGTGAATCACCCCCCCGCGCCCCACTCCATCCCAGCCAATGGGGAAAGGGGACGTGAAGCTTCCAGCCAATAGGGAAATGGGGTGCCGCTGCTCCGCTAAGCGCCCTCAATGGGGAAAGGTGACCCGACCCTCACTGCTGGCCAATAGGCACAACCCCACTGACCACCCCGCCCCGCCCGCCCAATAAGGAAAGAGGCGTGACCAGCGTCCGTATGGTGCGTAACATGTGACGTATTAACACACCTGACCCGTCAGGCTGTAGCGAATCGATCCAGGCAAGTCCCGTCCGGCTGCCCCGTAAACACCAAACTCGGACCATAGAGTCCTGGCGACTGCGGTCCTCCTGCGGCGGATAGACTATACCCCACCAGCGAGAGAAGTTGCAAGAGCGGCTATTCCTCCCAAGGGGGAGGCGGGCACTGAGATAGGCTCGGCGCTACTAGCTGCCCGGCGGAGCCGTGTCACGTGATATAGGCGATTCGCTTCCTATCAGAGCCGCGCTGTCACACCCGTGTCACGTGTCGGGGGTGAAGCTTCCCAGCGGGAGTCTTAAAGGGGCAGGCCCAGATGAATTCCCCCGCTGGCTGGGAGGGCGGGGAGCTGAGTCAGGCTAGGCAGACCCCAGGGCGCCTGGGGTGGGGGATGAGCCCCAGGGCCAGGAGGTGCCCGGGTGAGCTCCAGCCTGGGGCACTGACACCTTGGGTTACTGTCACAGGGCTGAACCCTGCAGCCAGGGCTGAGCGATCCCCAGGGCAGCCAGTCCCCCAGACCTTTCCCCTAAAACAGCTGCAGTTCTCGGCCTTTTCTTTCGCTGCCCAGTGTTGTGATAGGAAACCCCCCATCTGACAGGCTTCCATCCCCTCTGCACGGTGGCATGCGGAGTCCCGGCACTACCACTGCAGCTACCTGCCACAGAGGAAGGCAGGCTGTGCCCACACTTGTTGCTGCAGAGTGCAGCTCCATAGGGCGGGGAAAGGCTCCGGCAGCTGTGCACTGTAGAGGGGAAAGGCTCCGGCAGGGTAGGCAGTGGGGCACTATTGCACTGTCAACAATAGCAGTGTATACATGGGAGGCACAGCTTGGGTGTGCAGAGAGCCATTTAGGGTATATACCCTGGGGTTCAGGTGTGTAGGGCACTCTACTCCCCTAAGCGGTGCTTCACTGTCCGCACTGCTCTTTGTATCTGTGCAAGCTGGCTGTGCAGTATCTGTACAGTACATGCCACTGTAAGTGTGAACCTATCTGTAGCTGGTGTTAGACATGGTAATAAGTGTCCTTTTTGGGGAAATGGGAAAGAGTTGAGATGGGCTGGAGTTGTTGCTGAAGTCTGATCCTGTTTCCTTTAAGACAAAATAAGACAACCACACAAATGGGGAGAATAGCAGCAAAAATAAGACAATGCAGCTTCTGTTTCTGGTGCCAACTTTCACTTGCAACCTCACTGCTGCGGAAACACGGGCACAGCACAGTGTCATCAGCAATGGTGAGACAGGCTTTTAAGGCATTGCTTTTAGTTGCCTTTCTAGTCACAGGGTTGCAACAGTGTTGCAAAAGATGGAATTGCCTCCACTGCCTAAACCAGATTCTCTTTAGACAGAAGGCTGAGAAAGAGAAGAAATCAAGTGGATAAGGAATATGATACGAGGGTGGGGGTGACAGCAGGATCCCTAGCCTCGCATTCCAGGTGTTGTTTGGGATTTAGCTCTAGCCAAAGTATGTGGGGCGAGGGGAGTCATGTCATCTAGGTCCCACTTTCTGGCCCAGTTTGGAAGTCCCTCAAGATCCAGAAAGCCCCACTGTGTGATGGTGAAGCCTAGGAGACAATGACATCTACAATCCAAAAGCTCACTTCTTGTATCTCCCCTGCTTGCTCTCATTTAGTGAACCCCAAAATAAACAATGTCAAAGGAATGGCAACCTTCTCCCATTACCACTAACCAATCAAAACACATCAGTGATTAAACTATAAATGTTTTCTCTAATTTCTAGACTTTGCTCATTCTCTTATTACCTCAACTTGACCCCTTATCACAGTTCTTTTAATGTAAACAAGCCAGGTTGTACTAGTCTATTCGTGTCCAACTTTGCTGACTTGTAAACAATTGTATGTAACAGGGCGAGTTGGACTTTTGATACCTTGGACAATTGAGAGTGCAGGCCTCTGCATAACACTGCCCCCAACCAGTAAGGCTAAGGGGGCAAATTCTTCTTTCCAGGACGAAGAGGAGTCTAGGGTAACTCATGGAGAGGGGGCACAGCCTGATGCATCTGGAAGGGAGCTGAATTTCAGGCCTGTGTGAAATCTTTTTGCAGGAGGCTGAGAAGTAACTCTTGCTGGAAGAGGTTGGTGCAGGGAGAGAAGAGCAGACCAGCATTCCATCTGTATGATCTAAAGCAAGGGAAGTACTGTATACACACCTGGCAGCAAATTCAGGGGAAGTAGTTTGCCCTAAGAGGTTCCACTATTACAGCTGTAGACACACTAACCAAAGTAGGACTGGTAATACATTGCATTATTAAGAGGGTGGCACTCTTGAATGGCAGAGGCAGTTAGGCCTCTGTGGCAGGCAAAATGAGTGCTATGTATTAAATTGAAAAGCACTTTGGGATCAAAAGTGCTAATGAAATGGTATTTAGTACCTCCTTCCACTAATACACCAGTACATTGGGAGGCAGGGGAGTAGCAACCTATTGACAGTAGCCTGGAATTAAACTCCCCATCATGGACATAACCACATCAGCCACAGCATCAGGGGCTCGTTCACCTGCACATCTACCAATGTGATATATGCCATGTGCCAGCAATGCCCCTCTGCCATGTACATTGGCCAAACCGGACAGTCTCTACGCAAAAGAATAAATGGACACAAATCAGACATCAAGAATTGTAACATTCAAAAACCAGTAGGAGATAGGGTGACCAGATGTCCCGATTTTATTGGGACAGCCCCGATATTTGGGGCTTTGTCTTATATAGGCGCCTATTACCCCCCACTCCCCTCCCGATTTTTCACACTTGCTGTCTGAAGTGCTCTCCTAGTAGGGTGACCAGTCTCCCTGGACACTCAATAACAGACTTCAAAGTGGCAATTCTTCAACAAAAAAAACTTCAAAAACAGACTTCAACGAGAAACTGCAGAACTGGAATTAATTTGCAAACTGGACACCATCAGCTTAGGCCTGAATAAAGACTGGGAGTGGATGGGTCACTACAAAAAGTAATTTTCCCTCTCTTGATATTCACCCCTTCTTGTCAACTATTGAGAATAGGCCACTTCCACCTTAACTGCATTGGCCTCGTTAGCATTGACCCCCAACTTGGTAAGGCAACTCCCATCTTTTCATGTGCTGTAATATTTATACTGCTTACTGTATTTTCCACTCCATGCATCTAATGAAGTGGGTTTTAGCCCACGAAAGCCTATGCCCAAATAAATTTGTTAGCCTCTAAGGTGCCACAAGGACTCCTTGTTGTTTTTGCTGATACAGACTAACACGGCTACCCCTCTGAAACCATTCCCCATTTTTTACACTTACAACCTGAAGATTAGCACGTTCTTTTCCCTGCACCAGATAAGACATAAGGCCACAGGGGAACTGGTGGGATAGAGAAAACCCTGCAGTACCCTCATCCAACCAGTTCAGCCTGCCAAAACTATTAGTACCAACCCCATCTGCACACAACTGAGACATCTACATTAGCTTGACTGGGAATTCCTTCATGGGAGAAACCCCAATCTAGGGCACTTTTTGATGTGCCGAAACTACAAGCTGTCAGAGGAGCTAATACTCATAGTGGCTCTATACCAGCATGCTCTCAGTCAGAAAGGGGGACCGATAGTTACACATATTTCAGATGCTCTCAGGTCTCTGATATCACCACTCATTGTACCAGGGAGAAGAGGAAAAACTGTTTAACCTCTCTTTCCTTTACTGCAGTAGAGAAGAATGCTCACCTCTTCCTAACTGGGTGAAGCAGGAAAACACTAGCACAAAATGGTGGCAGAGAAGACAGCATACTTTATTACAACAGCTCACTTGCCATTTCAATGGCTGCTTTCGTCCCAGGATTTCTTTTCACACCACATCTGTAAGGTAGATGTATTGGCGTATAACATATTTATCCATAAGACAATGAACAACAAACTCATTAAACAGAACAAAACTCTTTATTCCGTTTGTTATACTTGTAAATGAGCACGGTGCAAAGGGTCAGCTAAGATTCCACCCACCAACAACACAGGGTGAGATGAGCATTTGGTCACTGAAGCCCCTGCTCCCTGACCACAGGGTTTAGCTCTCTTCCTCTGAAAGAGAGAAAAGAGGTTGTAGTGGAACAATGCAGCGGCAGACACCCCCTCCCCCGAGAAAATGCCACAATAATAATAATAATAATAATAAAAAATAATATAATAAAAAGACATGTAATATCTTTTACTCTTCATGTCACAATCTTGCCTGCCCTTTTCACCCAGTACAAGACTGTTCATTAGGGCCACATCTACAGTAAAATCACATGACCACATAAATTGCTACAGATGATTTTTGTTGCTGCATGATTCACTTGAGAATCTTAAAAACTTTAATTAAAAAAAATGTCTCTAGCTATTATGACTGTTCAGAAAACCTTCAAAAAGTGAACAGATCCAAGTCCAACAGATTTGCCCAAGTCTACAAACAGCATTAAGACCTTTTTAACTATCCCGTGAACATGAGTTTCAAGTCAGCTTGCCTCCCACAGTGGAGATAGAACATGAGGGGCACATGCCAGAGATCAGGGATTGTTTCAGGTAGTGGAGTGGCAAGCCAGCACTTGCCCCAGGCAAGGGTCTGGATCTTCCTTCCTTATAGAAAGTCTCCCAGTCTGCATGACTAGTGCATCCGCACTCGCTTTCCAGTCATCCATTTGAAATGGACTCATTAGCTTAATTGGTCTAGCCACTCATTTTTAATGTCTTACTTTGGATTTCCTCCTCTTTATCTAAAATGTCATGATAATGGCTTGAGTCTCAGTAGCACTGAGCACCTGCCATTTGTGCTGAAATCAATCACTACCACCCCTCAATGTCACAGTATTACTGAGCTGAGCTTTCCTTTCCAAGTGACTCCCTCTTCCACTCAGTGTTTCAGATTATGTTTTCCTCTCAGATTAATTAGTTCCCTCCCCTCCCCCCATGGTGAGACTCGTCGCAACTGTCTTCTCATGTTTTTAGATCTCTCTAGGTTCCTTTGTATTTATTTCATTATCCTTCCAGTCTCTGGGAGTAGTTAACACTTTTACTCTGCTTTCACCACTGATCGAATGACCCACAGTGACTGTACTCTCCACACACCACCTCTCACCTTGATAGGCAGCTTGGAAATTCTGAGATCTAATCCCCCAGTTACATTACCCCCTTTCTCTCAGCCCTTAGTCACTGAGCACCAGAGCCCCTGAGCATTCTACAGACCTTCCTCTTCCTCCTCCTCTTCTTCATCATCATCCTCCTCATCAGAGCTGAAGGTACCATCAGGGAGACTGTAAACACGGATCACTTGCTTGTTGGGGTCTTTGAGGATGAGGTATTTGCCC